TCAAAACAATAGGTACTGTTCTTGCATTTTAAATATTTTAGGAATTCTTTCTTATAAATGTTTGTACTGATTAATTATTGCTAAAAATAACAAGCACAATAACTATAATACGGCGAGACATAAGAATGAATGATCACAAATTCACAACGAACATGCCAAAATCATAGACTCTTATAAAAGAACGATCGCTTATAAGCCAACAATCATAAAAAGAAAAAATTTTATCAAGCGAAGAGTGAGTGGCCGGTTTAATAATCATCTACCGGCCACTCACTAAAGCAGTAAGAAACATTGAGGTCACAAATTAATAAACATTAATTAATTAATATGGAGTAGTAATTAATTGGGGTTAGCATCGCCGCCATTGCCTTGTCCTTTATTTTTTTCGAAGTAACCTTTCTTCCAAAAAACAAAAACAACAACACACACAAGAAGCACAGGTACTGCAGCTCCACCTACAAAAGCAGCAGCAAAAGCATCGGACGCCATAGACGTGAACGAGCAAAGCAATTCAGGACCGGATCGGAACCGATGAACGATAAATTAAGTCGATCAAATACGTACTCTAAAAAGCTTTTTTAATTTGGCCGGCCAGTGAATTATATTGTATGGATTGGCCATTTAAATAGAACATAGGATCAAGCTCTACTTTGTATTTCACCAATTACAAAGTACTCCCTTCATCCCAAAATAATGGTCTTGTATTTTCTTTTTGGGATGTCCCAAAATGATGTTCTTATTTTCCTTTTTGGTAAAGAGTTAAAAGTGGATTACCATTTATATCCATCCTTTTTAATGAACAGTAAAAATAAAAGGATGAACACTATAATAAAGTAAGGTTCTTTAGTTTTTCTACCACATTTTCTTAATCTTTGTGCCCAAAAGAAACAAGACCATCAAATTGGGACAGAGGGAGTAGTAATTACTTAAATAGAAATAGAAAATAACACATTTAGTCAAATAGATGTGTATCATTATTTTCTTTTCAAATTAAATTATGACTCATTAACCTATATCCCGGGGGTTCTAAATGTTTTATTCTTTAAATTTTAAGGGTTTTTCCTTGAATATTAATTAATTGAAGTCAATTTCCAAAATTTTGATATTTTTACACAAGGATGAAAATATCACTAAATGGATTATATATTTGAAAAAACATGATATCACTGTCAGCTTTTCTTGTCGTTGTCATATGTCACTATCACATTTTCATGTCCCTTACGAATGTCACTATATATGTCCCCGCCTCTGGCAGCCGGCAGTCGCCTCCACTTCTCTGCTTTGTCGGTCGTCTCTGTTTCTAACCCTTACGTTGTTCCTGAGCCGGCTGTGAGGTCAATCGAGTGATGGAGGAGAGAAGCATAGGTTGATCATGGTTTCTTCATTTAGTAGAATTACTCAATAAGTCTCATTAAGAGAGAAAATGTACTTAGAGCCCATTTGGTGACCCTTGTTTTCCGCTTATTAGTTAACTTTTTCACCAAACATGTATATTTTGATTTCGCACGCTAAGTTTTGTAATAGTCAAAATATGTAAGGTTGAAGTTACTTTTCTAGATGAATTGGTCAAAAGTTACAGTACATGATGATTTTAGCTATTTTTCATATTTTTTAATTTTATTAATGTAATGTACGGAGTATATTTTCATTTTTTTTCATAATTCAACAAATTCAACCACTTTAGCCTAAACTTAATCAATTTCAGCAAATCAACCAATTAAGCCAATTTTAGTGTTTCCAAACAAGTTCTTAGGCATGTTTTGTATTCCATTTGTCCAGAATTGATTTGCAAAGTCATCATTTTTTAGTCAATCAATGTTAAAGTTAAATCCTTCCTATTAATAATTATTTCAATTTTTAATAATTAAAGTTTATATATTTAAAAACCACATTAAAATCAATTCAAATTGCAAACTCCAAATTAGAATACAATTAAAATTGATATAGTAATTATGTGAATAAAATGAAATTTTTGTCTAAAAAAAGTGTTGTATCTTTTTTGAGGTTTTATTCATATTTTGAACTATTTCTTATTTTGAATTAGGTCATGGTATGCACTTAAACAATTAAACAATATCCCATTTGCATTTAGGAGTTCAACTCATTATCACGTCATCCCCAACTCATTCTCCACGTCATCATCATATCATTGCCAGTTGCCACCCTAGTTAGTTAAATACGGTACGGGAATAAAACGAGGTTTAATATGCACGCGTTTTATTCGGTAACATAAATAAAAAACACGGTCAAAAATTCGTTGAAAAAAACGTTGACTTTTAAAAAACATGTAAATACGTATACGTGTATAATACGTTATCTACTACAAAAATTCGGACGAAAAATACGGGTATTATTTTGAACATCTAAATGATATATTTCATAAAATAACATATATAGTAAAAAAGAAATAAAAGTATACACATATTCAAGTAGCAAATCTCATTACTACATACAAGAATAGTTCATAATTGCACAAGTCGATGACAAAAATAAAAACAGTAATCACGTCTAGGACATAATTTTGAAAAATAATGTCAAAAAATCATTATCTTTATATGATCATCAAATAATAATACTCAAGTTAAACTCATCATTTTCATTAAGATGACATATGACAAAAGTTGTGTGATTGCTACACTTATTATTGTTTGTGTAAATCTTAGGTTTAGAAAAATCTTAATTTTGATATGCTAGCTTAAAAAAACATTAGAAATCTTGTAGTATATTACTACGTAAGTTTTAGTATTTCAGGATGCTAGCTTTAGGCATCATGCAATTAATTTTAGTATTTAATAATTGCACTGTAACAATACAAAAACACAAGATCATAGGGTGGATGTTTTCATTTTTACTTTTACACTATTGTTGATCTTCTATGCACTTAGTGCATTCATTTTCATTCAATTGGTCAATTCATGTTTATGTTTTTGTAAAATACGGGAAAAATACGTTTTATACGGGAAGTAGGAGTTTTTTTCCTTTTTAAATGGACCAACATTTCCCCCCTTTTTAAACGTGTTTTTTTGGTTAAAAAAAAACGGTACGTGTTTAAAACGCGTTTGAATCGGAAAAAAAGCTAACTAGGGCTGCCACACCATCTAATTATTCCAATTTTATTTTTTCTCTACATCGCTTTTTCATCTTTCAACCCACCGGCAATCACTGCCCAACACCTTGTACGACCCGCCACTGGCCTATTTTTCGGATGTAGGAGATCAAGAAATTGCCATCCAAGTTTGTTAATACGAAAATCGGCTGATTTGATTAATAATGCTGAAATTTATGAAGTTCTGGCTAAATTATCTGCATTTGCTGATTCTGCTGATTTAAGAAAAAAATATTTTTAAAATATATGTTATTATTAAAATAAAAAAATATATGTAAAAATAGCTAAAATAATCATTTACAGTAATTTCAGTCGATACAGGCAGAAAAATAACTTCAACCTTAATTTTTCTGTTTATGACACAGTTCAGCGCGCAAAGCAAAGTTACATGTTTCTTGAAAAAATGACTCATAAGCCTAATAAGCCGAAAAACAATCTTGTCAAATGACTTCCTAGACAATATACACACAGTACAATATCCGATGTCTGCCACTTTGCCCTTTTTTTATCGTGCCAATTCGCTCATGAAGAGGGTGTTTGGAGCACTCAAAATGGGTTGAAAAGCCTGAAAGTGTCAAAAAAATAACCAAACACTTCATGATTTGGCTGTTTGAGCTGATTTTTATGATCAGCCGAAACAACAACTATATGACTACTTTTTTAGCTGATTTTTATTATTGTACTATTTGAGATTGAAAAGTCCCTTTTAGCCTTTTATATTGAAATAGGTGCTCGTTGTTTTGGACGAACAAAATATCCGATCCTCGCTTGGGAGCTCCAGATCAATTGCTTCTTATTCAAGGAGTGCTCCATACTTAACTATTTTGGACTTTGGTAAAATAAAATTCAAATAAACCCCACTCCTTATGTTTTGTTTCATTTTATTTTAATTTATTCAAGTGCATGTGAGTTTTTTTATACTCCGTATACTTTATAGAAAGGGTATTTTTTAAAATTAATTTACTCATATTGTTAACAAAAAAGTTATAATGATATCGTTTACTCAGAAAAAATTTGTGTAAAAAGTTCAATATAATAAATTAATTAAGCATTCTTATAATCACCTAATCAAGCAAAATTAATTCACTAGCAAAATACACACTCATATATTTAGCACAAATAAACTAATACCCGTTAAAGTAATTTTACATTCAATCAGTCATTTCAGCCAACATATTACCACACTTTCACTTCAACACATTCAGTCTTTTCAACCTATTCAGCCATTACCAAACAGGCCCAAAAAGTGCTCGTAACCGCTAGTGGCAATGTTTTTAATGTGAAAAACCAGTACACAACAAATTATTTAGAAAATTTGGAAAGATAAGTTATGTACTCCGCAATTATTAATGACAATTATTTTTAAAAATAACTTGTTATCTAACCATTTTACCATACAATCATTTTTCTTAGAAAAACTGAAAAAATCAAAAACAATTTTATATAGACTTTAATTTTTTGAAGTACAATTGGGCATGCCACTTGCTGGCATTTTAATAAAAACTATTGAAGACTTTATCCGGTGGTGTAGGCAGCTGATATTTTCAAAGTTTTTTTCCGAAAAATGAGCTGGTAATGGTGTTACTTTCCAATAATAATAATAATAATAATAATAATAATAATAATAATAATAACAATAACAATAACAATAACAATAACAATAACAATAACAATAACAATAACAATAACAATAACAATAACAATAACAATAACAATAACAATAACAATAACAATAACAATAACAATAACAATAACAATAACAATAACAATAACAATAACAATAACAATAACAATAACAATAACAATAACAATAACAATAACAATAATAGTAATAATAATAATGATAATGATAATGATTTAATGTTAATAAAAAAAATTATGAACTATATCTATGCCTGGACTCGGGCCGGTTCGGGCCCGGTTCGGGCCTGGGCCCGGCCGGGCCTCGGGCCAGGAAAGGGAGGCCCGAGCCCGAACCGCCGGTGGCCGGTTCCGGTCCCGGTTCCGGGCCAAACCGGGCCGGGCCGAACCGAACCGAGGGACCCACCGGGCCCCGGGCCGGGCCGGGCCAAACAGTAACCGGGCCGGGCCGGGCCGGGCCGCCCGGCCCGAGTCCAGCACTAACTATATCCATGTTGTAGTCCTATTTAGGGAATTTTCTTTTACGGCTGAGTCCTAGACTAGCACCAATATCGGACCCGAAACAGATCGGACACATTCATACATTCCTATTGACCCTGTGTAAAAGTAAGTTATCCAATGAGTTTTTTTTACTTTAGTTATCCAATGAGTTAAAAAGGAATTGTTTGCTCAAATTGTCATATGCACTATCAGGCACTTTTCCAAAGTGAACAGCAGAAACTAAGCAACCATATACAATTTACTTCACGTGAGGTTACTTAATCAACTGTCCATATTAATCTAAATTATCATATTTTGGTATAGATATACCTGGACGTATATGTTATTTTGCTTAATATGCTCCATACTACACACAAGTGCCAGGAGCAACAGAATAGAAAAAAGACAAAAATTACAATGCCAACAGAAGAGTGACTGCGCTTTACAGCAAAAGCAGGCAGCATGTGTTTAGGAAACATTTGGTAAACCGTGATGTAATCAAATGAGTGTCTAATGCAAATATACACTAAAAATATACTGCATCCTAAAATACAGTCTTAATTGAGTGAGGTACAATTTTTTGTTTTTAATCAACTTGATCACAGTACAAGCTTTACTTTTACAAGTTATAAATGATCAATTATATACCTCTAGAGCTTATTTCCAAAATTACTTGGAGTGACTTTACAAACAAATTGCTTAGAAAATGAAAATCGACTCTTAAACCATGACTGGACAGGGAGAAAAGATTGAACGTGACTTTTTCCTTTTGAAAGGGATGAAGTGGTTGATTGCATTTCATTGCGGTTTATCAAATGTTACCTGAATTCATTTACAGATGATTGGAAGGGTTGTGTGGATGTGCGGGTCTCATATAAGTAAAACCCCTGAAAGGGTTTTCATGTCCTTTAGGACTAGAAGCAGGAGAATCCAGCAAGGGCATGGCAGTCCATTGGGTGTCGAAATTGGCTACACAGTGTTTCCCAGCAACTTTTGGACAAAAACTGGGCTGGATTTCCCGAGCTTCTAGTTTCTTCCAGTTAATGGGGTGGAACCACTTGTGGGCTTTTATCTCATCACTGCCTTTCAGTCCACTGCCTAAGCGCTTGCTTGTCTCCTTTTGTAAAAGCTGAGAATTAAAAAAATGCAATTCATATTTGATATCTAGAATAGTAGAATTAAACGGGTGATATTGTCAGAAACAATCAAAATACATCAGACCAAAAGTTTCAAACCAAATCACATATAAAAAAGATTCAGACCAGATTCTTCTATTCCATACATTAATACAAGACATGATCTGAAACATTAACCAACTCAGATCAGACCAGATCTAAAAACTTAACATTTCACCGTTTAGACCTAGATTGGTCCTCCCCTAAGAATTTAAAAACAATTCTGTGCTCCTAAATATTTGGTTGAAGTAATAAGGTGTTTTATTTAGTTCACTAAATTTAGATCCAAATTAGGGCTTGATTTGAACATATAAGAATACCCTTCTAAATTAGAGTAAAAGATGCACCGGGGATAAATTGTGTATTTAGTCCAGGAACTGAATCAAGTATTAACTCTGTTGAGTTTAATCCAACACGATATAGTAAATATATGTATAAATGTGTATGAACAACTCAGTTTTTACGTGGAAACCCGAAAGGGAGAAAACCACGGGACTTTTTAGGCTAATGTCCAAGCCCTCTCAATTCTCATTAGGCTCTCCTCACCATTACATTATACAAGCTTGAAGCTCCCATTAATGGAGTATTATCTAATCTAGAGAAGAAGAAGCATGAAGAAGGAGGAAAAAGGGATCCTTCATATGGAGGGAAACCCCCATATTTATAAGGAAAGGGGATGGGAAGTACTCTCCACCCTAATGGGCCAAGTGGGCCGAAACAGGCCCAAAGGCTAAAGTGGGCCGGATGGGCCGAAATGGTCCTAACTATTCAGGCTCCGTACTGGATAATATCTTGGGCTCTTGAACAGTAATAGGCCGGGATAATATATCCCAACACAAGTCCCCCAGTTTCTTGAGTAGTGAGCGTGCGAATCTGCTCGAGAAAATATACTCTTGCCTGCGCTTTACCTCGGTCTAGCTGGAACCTGTGTCTTCGAATAATCATAATATATGACTGGATGTCCACACTCCTGAACGTAATCTGCCGGTGAGGCACCCCCGTTCCCGATGGGGTCGGGCGAAAGGTGCTCCTCCACGGGCACGCTCCCCCTGAATGCATCAGGCGAGAGTAAAGGACTCTGACTCGAGCTTTCCAACGGAGAAGCTTAGAGGTCCATGCATCTATAAACCGACATCGCGGTACTGTCAAAACATGATGCACGTGTGTATGTATGAATGTATGAGGTATGATGCATGAATGCATGAATGCATGTAATGTATGAGTGCAATGTATGAGAGAAGGAATGTGAGATGTGATAGAAAGCGGTGGCTCTCATCGATAAAACGGGCATGTCAGCACCGAGGGGCAGACGTGCTGCATAAGAGACGTTCGTCGCCATCCTGAAAGGGATGGGCGACCCTAACGTGAGCCAGACACGATGGCGCTGGGGCGCTGATCGTGCTGCATAAGAGACGTTCGTCGCCATCCTGGAAGGGATGGGCGACCCTAACGTGAGCCAGACACGATGGCGCTGGGGCGCTGATCGTGCTGCATAAGAGACGTTCGTCGCCATCCTGAAAAGGATGGGCGACCCTAACGTGAGCCAGACACGATGGCGCTGAGAAGCCGATCGTGCTGCATAAGACGGTCGTCGCCATCCTGGAGGGAATGGGGCGATCCGAACGTGAAAGAGACACGATGGCGCTGAGAAGCCGATCGTGCTACATAAGACGGTCGTCGCCATCCTGGAGGGAATGGGCGAGCCGAACCGTGAAGCCAGGTACGATGGCGCTGAGGGGCCGATCGCACTGCATAAGACGTTCGTCGCCACCCTGGAGGGAATGGGGCGATCCGAACGTGAAAGAGACACGATGGCGCTGAGAAGCCGATCGTGCTGCACAAGACGGTCGTCGCCATCCTGGAGGGAATGGGCGAGCCGAACCGTGAAGCCAGGTACGATGGCGCTGAGGGGCCGATCGCACTGCATAAGACGTTCGTCGCCATCCTGGAGGGAATGGGGCGATCCGAACGTGAAAGAGACACGATGGCGCTGAGAAGCCGATCGTGCTGCACAAGACGGTCGTCGCCATCTTGGAGGGAATGGGCGAGCCGAACCGTGAAGCCAGGTACGATGGCGCTGAGGGGCCGATCGCACTGCATAAGACGTTCGTCGCCATCCTGGAGGGAATGGGCGAGCCGAACCGTGAAGCCAGGTACGATGGCGCTGAGGGGCCGATCGTACTGCATAAGACGTTCGTCGCCATCCTAGAGGGAATGGGGCAATCCGAACGTGAAAGAGACACGATGGCGCTGAGAAGCCGATCGTGCTACATAAGACGGTCGTCGCCATCCTGGAGGGAATGGGCGAGCCGAACCGTGAAGTCAGGTACGATGGCGCTGAGGGGCCGATCGCACTGCATAAGACGTTCGTCGCCATCCTGGAGGGAATGGGCGAGCCGAACCGTGAAGCCAGGTACGATGGCGCTGAGGGGCCGATCGTACTGCATAAGACGTTCGTCGCCATCCTAGAGGGAATGGGGCAATCCGAACGTGAAAGAGACACGATGGCGCTGAGAAGCCGATCGTGCTACATAAGACGGTCGTCGCCATCCTGGAGGGAATGGGCGAGCCGAACTGTGAGTCTGGACACGATGGCGCTGAGGGGCCGATCGTGATGCAGAAGACGTTCATCGCCACCCTGGAAGGGATGGACGAGCTGAACGTGAGCTGGGTACGATGGCGCTGAGGGGCCGATCGCACTGCATAAGACGTTCGTCGCCATCCTGGAGGGAATGGAGCGATCCGAACGTGAAGCCAGGTACGATGGCGCTGAGGGGCCGATCGCACTGCATAAGACGTTCGTCGCCATCCTGGGGGGAATGGGGCGATCCGAACGTGAAAGAGACACGATGGCGCTGAGAAGCCGATCGTCTGTCAGGACTTCATCCTGGGAGGAAGGGTGGACCTGGGCGCCGTCCCTCTGTCTGATCTGAGGAGCTGGTATCCGTCGTTCAAGGCGAAAGAAAGCCTGATGTTTAGCCGATCGTCGTCGGCCACTTCATTCTTCGTACTTAAGTTTTGTAATTATTCTTTACATATGTTTTTCAGTTTGTACTTCTCGGCCAATAGTGCCAAGGGATAAAATCATTCTTTGCTCCGTGCTCTTCTGGCATCTTTTTTTTTTTTTTTTTTTTTTTGGAGTCTTTTAGTCTTCGTTCGTCATTGGTCCTTGGTCCTACCAGCGTTCTTACATCGAAGATACGTTCGGTATCCGCGGACATCGCAATGAGGAACAGGTATATCTACATCGAGATTCCCTCCTTTTTCGTTCGTCCCTGGTCCTTTTAGTCTTACCGGCGTCTCTTGCATCGAAGAAGACGTTCGGTACCCAAGGAACTCGCAGGGACGAACTGGTTTACCCTCACGGGTTCCCGTCTTTGTTATCCCACGTCCATCGATCCATGGTCATTGTGGGATGAACAGGTTTATCTTGGCAAGGCTCCCTTGGTTCGTCTAGCCCCCTCCGCGTCTCTACTAACCTCTACATCGAGAGGCGTTCGTCTTCGGCGGTGGGAGAAGATCTGGCACACCCGGGCAAGATTCCCTTCCACATAGGAGCTACTCTCCTCTTCTCCCCATCTTTTTTCTCTTTTTTTTCTTTTTTTTTTTTTTTTTTTTTTTTTTTTTTGTTTGAGGGAGGCAATCTATACTCTTCGTTCGTCATTGGTCCTTGGTCCTACCGGCGTTCCTACTTCGAGGAGACGTTCGGTATCCGCGGACATCTCAATGAGGAACAGGTTTATCTGCATCGAGATTCCCTGGTGCTTCGTTCGTCCCTGGTCCTTGGTCCTACCGGCGTCCTTACTTCGAGGAGACGTTCGGTATCCGCAGACATCGCAAGGAGGAACAGGTTTATCTGCATCGAGATTCCCTGGTGCTTCGTTCGTCCCTGGTCCTTGGTCCTACTGGCGTCCTTACTTCGAGGAGACGTTCGGTATCCGCAGACATCGCAAGGAGGAACAGGTTTATCTGCATCGAGATTCCCTGGTGCTTCGTCCGTCCGTCCCTGGTCCGTGGTCCTACCGATCTTCCTACATCGAAGAAGACATTCGGTATCCAAGAAACTCGCAGGGATCACGGGATGTCACACATAATGGTGGTGGCATACCAAAACGAATAAGTATGACGAGGCGACAGAATAGCTGGTCGTCATGCGAAGGCGATGGGCACCCTCCTGGAGGGGAGGGGTGAGCCCGATCGCTAACTCAAGAAGGTCGGCATTGGGAGCCGATATACAATGATCATAATATCGCTGAGCAGTCGGTCCGATAATGGAGATGGCAATAGTGTCCAGTCAGGCCGATATATCCGAGCAACGGCTCTCATCCAACGCAGCGCGGGGATGAAACCGGTCTTCAAAAGATAAATATGTCGTGCCGAGAGGCCGAACATAACATGATAGTGTCGGCAGTGAGAGGCCGACCTGAAAGAATCAAACAACGGTCCTCGTCCGCGGGGTGGCGGGGACGAGGCCGGTCTTCAAGAGATAAGCACGCCGAGCCGAGAGGCCGGTCGTGGTATAATGGTGTCGGCAATGAGCGGCCGATCTGAGAAAAACAGGCAACGATCCTCGTCCGCGAGGGCAGGGACGAGGCCGGTCTTCAAATATGATAATCACGCCATGCCGAGAGGCCGGTCGTGATATGACGATATCGGCAATGAGAGGCCGATCTGAGAAAACAAGCAACGGTCCTTATCCGCGCAGTGCGGGGACGAGGCCGGTCTTCAAATATGGACACGCCGAGCCGAGGGGCCGGTCGTGGTATGATAATGTCGGCAATGAGATGCCGATCAAGATATGGTCAAGCAACGGTCCTCGTCCGCGAGGTGGCGGGGATGAGGCCGGTCTTCGAATATGGAAAGCACGCCGAGCCGGGAGGCTGGTCGTGATATAATGGTGTCGGCAATGAGAGGCCGATCTGACAGAATCAAGCAACGGCCCTCATCCACGCAGCGCGGGGACGAGACCGGTCTTCAAAAGATAAACACGCCGTGCCGAGAGGCCGGTCGTGATATAATGATGTCGGCAATGAGAGGCCGATCTGAAATCCAAGCAACGGTCCTCATCCGCGCAGTGCGGGGACGAGGCCGGTCTTCAAATATGATGATCATGTCGTGCCGGGGGGCCGAACATGACACGACAGTGTCGGCAATGAGAGGCCGATCTGAAAGAATCAAGCAACGGCCCTCGTCCGCGAGGGCGGGGACGAGGCCGGTCTTCAAATATGCACGCCGTGCTGAGAGGCCGGTCGTGATATATAATGATGTCGGCAATGAGGGGCCGACCTGAAAGAATCAAGCAACGGCCCTCATCCGCGAGGAGCGGGGATGAGGCCGGTCTTCGAATATGGAAAGCACGCCGAGCCGGGAGGCCGGTCGTGGTATGATGATGTCGGCGATGAGAGGCCGACTTGAAAATCAGGATGGTCTCACGGCCCTCGGCCGTGATGGTCTCCTCTAGGCCCTCGGCCTCTGAGTGATGGATGATCGCCTCACGGTCCTCCGCCGTGGTAGTCCACTCTAGACCCTCGGCCTCTAGGTGTTCTTCCTAGGCCATCGGTCTCTGGGGTGGAGATGCTCGTCCAACGGTTCTCAACCGTGGTGGTCTCCTCTAGGCCCTCGACCTCTGGGTGTTCTTCCTAGCCCATCGGTCTCTAGGGTGGAGATGCTCGTCCCACGGTTCTCAACCGTGGTGGTCCCCTCTAGGCCCTCGGCCTCTAGGTGGAGATGCTCGTCTCACGGTCCTCAGCCGTGATGGTCTCCTCTTTAGCCGGCCCTGCACGTCCTCAAGACTCGGGCCGAGCGTCTTCTAATCATTTCGCTCGATCACGTCGAGCGGCTTCAGCTGCGCAATAAGCATGGTAACGGGCCGCACGGCCCGACAATATGTATACACACATAACCATCTGCATGGCTTTCTCTTTAACATCCACGATTACCGGCCTATGGGTCATCGTGACCCTCGGCCCGGCTCATCGTGCGTGGTTAATGGACGTAGCAGCTCGCGGCGGGGCCAATCAGCAGCCCGCCGAACGTCACATAGAGATAATCACTGGTCTGTGAGTTTGAAAACTCAGACCCAAGTTGGTCGCACTGCCCTCGAAAAAACGAGGTTGAGTGCCTTGGTGCCCTCGGGCTCCACAGGCCGCGTTTGGCACAGTCACTTCGCCTAGTGGCGCAGATGGCACTAGGGGACGATCGTCGCTTGAGCACTTGGTGTCGTGCGGGCTAATGCGTAACCCCCAAAAACGCGTCATCGGGGCACTACCCTCTGGAGACGCTCAGATCGCTAATCAAGCTGATCGAGAGTGGGCCATCGGGGCCACAAGAAATTAAATACTTAATAAAATGCTAGCTGAACTAACCATCACTTGAGCCTCGCTCAGCATTATTTAATTCGGGACATTTTATCCCTAATAAATAATAGTGATATAACAGGTAATAGCAATGATATTTTCCTATCAAAGGCCATTCAGGTACGCTCCGCTCGGTAATTAAAGCCGATAGGGAGCGGGCCAACGGGCCCACAACAACCGGTCATTTAATTTAATGACGGTGAAGCTAATTATCACTAGAGCGTCGCTCGACATTATTTAATTTCGGGAAGTTTTAATCCCTAATAAATAATGGTGATAAAAGTACTAGCAATACTATATTTTTTTTTTTTTAAATAATCAGCTTTTCAATGTACCAAGTTATCAACTTGAAAGTAAGTATATGTACTTAGCTTTGGGAGATAAGCCTCGGCCAGTAGGAAGTGTAAAGTCAGGTTGCATCCTTTGTACCAATTTTGACTTGGTCAAGATGCTCCAATCCCTTCCCATCTGCCAGTATGCCACCATTATCCAGAGGACGTGGTCTGCTTTAGTCCAAAACATTTTATGCGGAGTATATCTTTTCGAAAGGGCAGGTGGAGCGCTATTCTACCAACCCAGGCGCAGGCCGTTCGTGTCGGCCACTTCCCACCGGTGGAGACGGCAGTCGCAGCAGAGCAAGGGCGGCCCGAAAGCTTATATCCGGCGGAAGCTCGACCGAACTACTGAACATACTTATTCTGAGCTCGAAAAACCCCCATTAATGGCGGAATCATGAAGCTCTCCACCGGTATATCCCATAGGTCGCGTCGGCCGAGTCGTGGAAGCTCGAACGGCGACCGACCAGGTGGGGGAGTAACCAGCGGTTGACCGGCGATGATGACGGCGGTGTGGTGATGCTCTGGCGGCGGAGTTGCTCCGGCGAACAGGAGCGAGGCGCGAACCTGCGACCGTCGCCCAGTCACGCTGTAGATGACGAGCAGCTAGGAGAGCCCGAAACTGGTTTCCTCAGGTCGCTGGTCCACCGGACCGATCCCCGTCCACAGTTGCCTTCCCCGACCAACAGAGCTTTGCACCGGAATTCCTCTTCTTCTCTGATCTAGAACTCCTCAGAATTCTTCTTTCCAGGATATCTTTTTCTCCTTTTTTGTTGAAATCAGTCCTTCTGGTATCAATTTTTGTGTAGAAACTCAAGAACAGTAAAACACATGAATCTTTTTGGACAGTTTCCCACAGACGGCGCCAGTGTTGAGTTTAATCCAACACGATATAGTAAATATATGTATAAATGTGTATGAACAACTCAGTTTTTACGTGGAAACCCGAAAGGGAGAAAACCACGGGACTTTTTAGGCTAATGTCCAAGCCCTCTCAATTCTCATTAGGCTCTCCTCACCATTACATTATACAAGCTTGAAGCTCCCATTAATGGAGTATTATCTAATCTAGAGAAGAAGAAGCATGAAGAAGGAGGAAAAAGGGATCCTTCATATGGAGGGAAACCCCCATATTTATAAGGAAAGGGGATGGGAAGTACTCTCCACCCTAATGGGCCAAGTGGGCCGAAACAGGCCCAAAGGCTAAAGTGGGCCGGATGGGCCGAAATGGTCCTAACTATTCAGGCTCCGTACTGGATAATATCTTGGGCTCTTGAACAGTAATAGGCCGGGATAATATATCCCAACAAACTCTTTTTAAACCTACTTGGGAACACTAATATGTGCTGCCAACTAAGCAGGTGGCACAGTGTACCTAACATCTGGGCAGGGTTATGCGAAATTTGGTGGTTTTAGGTAGAATTAGGAAGGGTAAATTCAAGAAAAAACATAGGCAGCAAAGGTGAGCGATCCTAGCTGGTCTCGGCAAAAGTTTTTAGAACTGAGATACAAGAAAAATGATTTTTTACCCCTTTCAACAACGAGTGTGCATCATTGGACAAGTATGCAGGGAGCTTAATCTTATCCTTTATGATCTTCTGCTGAAGTTTATGTCGGTTCCCACCAAAATAGGGAGGCTGCATTGGGAGCAAAAGTAAAGTAAAAACTATTAGTGAACATACTGAACAAGTTGAAATGCAGAAAACCAAGAATCCATGATGCTGCGGCACAGGATGAAATCATCTCACTTTTGGTTCTCAACTTTGAATTTTGGTGCACCACAATTAAGTTATTGCTTTTTTTGTCCTTTTAAGTCACTTATCCCACAAAATTCAGAAGTAAATTGTACTGAAGTTCAGCCAGATAAGTGATCGGGGACTGAAAGTGGAAAGAAATCCATAAATGTGCATTCAAAAAGTGAAAAAAATTAGAGTTGGAGAAAAAGTGGTAATGACCTAAAAGTGAAAATGGAAGAATATGCACCGCATTCTTTGTACATAGAAAATTTAAGGGAAGACTATTTAGGACAAATAAAAACGGAGAGGAGGGAGTACAACAAACCCTTCCAGTGAGCATCTCATACAAGAGAACTCCCACACTCCACCAGTCTGCAGACTTGTCATGACCCTTCCCAAGGATAATTTCAGGTGCCATATATTCCAATGTTCCACACATAGAGTTGAATCGGGAGTTCCCATCAAATTGCTTGGCAACACCAAAGTCAGTTATTACAACCTGCACTCAACACACAAGGCATGTGATGTAGAAGGAACCGAAACAACTCATACTTCCTTACCATACTGTTGGGTAGTATGCAACACAACCTAAAATGATTCTCTAGGAATAAATTTACATCACACATTTAGATCCCTCGCAAACCAAGTAGGATCACATAACTATGGTGTGGACAAATGAGTCTAAACCCACAACCAAATGGCCATATGGCTTGTCCAAAACCATCGAGTCAGCAGGTGCCCCAGTGCACCACAAATCACCAACGGATCGGAACCTTCACATCGGTGGAGATTCTGGGTTGCCTGGCCTGGGAGCATGATATCATGTTAAGCTGACCTTCACTCACCCCTAAATATCCTAAAGATGTGAGATTTACTCCAGCTTTATAAACGTATATAGTAGATCCAATTCCAAGAAACCAACAACGTGAGATACCTCAATATAAGCATTGTTATTCACTTAACAATTCTCAAATAGTATCTATCAATAAAAAGGCATCATACTTGAAGCATTATGATATGATGAGGAAAAAATCTAGTAAAGTGAGTTGTCATAATAGTAAAAGTGAGTGTAACTAAGTGCTAATTACAATAACATCCAAGCCTTAGTCCCAAAAGATATTGGGGTCAGCTAACATGAATCAATACATGATATTGGAGTCAAAAGGGAACAAAAGATAAAAAGATTACGTATGATAAAAGAGTTATAAAAAAGTACATGATATACATAAACATGATAAGATAAAAAGGATAAAAAGAATATATATATATATATATACATATATAATAAAAAAGACAAAAGGATAAAAACATAAGAAAGATAAAGAAGATAAAGGGAACTAAAATTTCTTTTCTTTAGACCCAAGTTATTGTTCATCAGTAGAATGTGGTCATTGAAGAGAATTTTTTTGTCAAAATGTTTCAATTCGTAGCCATAGCTGCATAATTGAAATCACTCGAGGAATGAAGACAGTGCATTATATAGGCAACAAATATGACTGTGTGCTGCAGAACAAAAAGGCGTTCTATTAGAGAAGGTAATTATGTTAAAAAAATTATAATAAAAAAAATCCATTCCCTATAGTTTAAATTCACACTTGTTATTTTAATTGTTTGATAACTCATTACTATTGAATATCCCAAATCAATTGTCTCCTGCTTTTGACTATTAAATAGGTGTGAGGTAACACATCCCTTGATGAATTTTTGGATGAAATAGCTCTTGATAAATGTGGTATTAGAGCAGGATCTAATAGTGGTTTGTGTAATGCCAGCCCATTTGATTCTCAATTATAACCCTTCCGTTGTATTGAATTATTGATTATACCGCGTCAATTTTGTCTACTAGGTTTGAGTTGAACCTAGTTAATAAGGTAAAGAGAACTCTTTAGGGTGAGTTATGCAAGTTTAACCATAACTAACATAACTAAAGACATTATTTTTTGCACTAAAAGTGAAAGAGAAAGAGATACTAACATGACCCTCTACATCCAGAAGTATATTTTCAGGTTTAAGATCCCTGTGTATTATTCCATTTTCATGGAGGTGGGAAACAGCAGATACAATCTCAGCAGTATAGACACGTGCTAAATCTTCTCTGAAAGAATACCAAGTGTTACTATTTTATTATTAACGAAATTTCCACAGCGTGTATAGGTAATAAATTATGATTTACATTAATACCTGAATAAGCCTTGACGGCAGAGTTGAAAGAAAAGATGTCCCCCATTAACAAAATCCAAAATAAGGTAGAGTCTATATTTGGTCTGCATTGAAATCGAAGTGTTTAAAGTAAGTGAAATCAACTATTCAACTCCCCCAACTCCCCTGGTAGCAACCACAAACTTCCCAAGCGGCTAAGCATTAATAAAATAAGAAGAATATACATCAAGTCCCCTGAATATTCGGTATAAGGTATTAATTGTAATTTACGACTGTTTTTCGAATTTCTGAACTTAGTCCATCAATTGTTATAGATTAGATACAATAAGCTTCTCCGTTGAAGTGACTGTTTACACTGATAGTTAGAGTTTATGAGGGCATTCTCAATGTTATATATTGTTGAAAATACCCCCCCCCCAAACCTTGTACTCCGTACTAAACAGTGGTTTTCAAGAAGAGGCTAATTGTATCTCAATTGTCTCAGATTCCATAATTCCAAGCAATCAAGGGACATAAGAGCATAAATATGCCCTTGAACTTTCAACAAAATCCTGATTGATCATCGACTCCCCAAGTGCCTTGTGAATCCCTTAACTAACTATAGTAACCTATTAATGACCACAAACTTCAAAGTTTAAAGTAACTTATTACCATTGACTTTAGACATGAAGTATATGCAGGTGCTTACATAGTAATGTGATTGAGGGTGTGGAGAAAAACGTGGGCGATGATAACACCAGTTGCAGAATGCAACAACAAGAAATACACATTATAAATCTACATAATTCAGCCAAAACCATATAAATTTTTTGAATTTGTAATCTTTTTTGTTGTTGCACTGTCTTACATTGAAAACTCGGTCACTATTGGATGTTTTCCACAATATTAATGTTCTAAGTATGTAATACAGATCACTAGATTCGCTAGTTCTTACCTGAAATGAGTACCTAAGGTGCACAATGAAAGGATGGTCAATTTTGGTAAGTATATTCCTCTCACTGATCATATACTCAAGATTACTTTTCTCCAAAACCTTATCTTTCCGCATCACCTTCATCGCAAATATTTCAGAGGTGTCAATCTTCTGCACCTGATAAACTTTTCCAAACGCACCTTGGCCAACCACTTTCAAGACCTCAAAGTCATCAAGACCAACCACTGCTTTTGGAAAATAAAAAGTGCCTTCTTCAACCTTAGAATCACTCTCAAATGAAGACTGGTTTTCCCCATTGGTCTCCTCAGAGGCTCCCGCTACAAGTACCAGAGAGTCCTCATTCTCACGTAACGTGAGTCTACTAAGCCTTTGTGTTTTGTTAGTACATTCTGTTGGACCGACCAAAGAATGAGAGCGGGTGTAAATAATATCTGTCCCTACACAGTTTTCATGGATTGGTGATTGAGCAGGAAAAGGACCAAACACATCAGAGAACTCCAAACATACATCAGTCGGCACCAGGACATCATGCGGTTTCAATGATGGAATCACATTGCTCTGGATAGGTGTCTTACCCGAGAATTGTGAGAACTCCAAGAAAACCATTTTCACTTCAAAAAGTAAGCTTTGGGTCCAGAATCAGTCAGTCAGCCCTGGGGAGGTCAAGACAGTGTGACAACAGGGTCCCGTTCCACTGTGGGTATGAATTTTTTTTATTTAGTTTCGCAAAGAGTCATAAAAATAAATGAGTCGAGATATTTGTTGAAGTTGTAGAGCTAAACTGATTGTGCACTTGCTCACTTGATTTGCAGTGCTAACTGAAGAGTGTCTTGGCTTCAAACCTCACATTTCCTTTGCGATGAGAAGTTTTTTACTTGTTTCAAATTTTAATACAAATGCAAGGATGCCCAAAATATTTCCCGCCTCTGGTCGGGTCACCCACAGGGGGAGAAATGCTCCACTGGTTCTACCCCAAGAACAAAATTATAAAACGTAAAACACCTCACAATACCCTGAAGAGAAGATAATTCTCAAATGCAACAAGGGTTCCAAAGAATCTCTGGATGAGAGGACACAGAATCAAGAAAAGAGTGATGTGTTTGTTTCCCACTTCAGAGGAAACAGAAAGCGCAGTGATGCTTCTCCAATTCATGAAGGTCAGACAAAAAATAGCTGTAGCACATGAAGGCAGCACAAAATTATAGAGATAAAAACCAACAAAATGATAGAAAATTACTATTAGTTGTTCATTCATTCCAATGCTATAAAAGATAAAAAACAAATGAAAGATGCACAAAAGAAGAAGATACTAATTATTACTCGTAGTTTATTATTAATCGGAAAAGTAAATGTTACGAATAAGATTGAATCTAAATCATGTTACTCAACATCAGAAAAAGCTACCGAACTGTAATAATTGTTTGTACACAGTACTTACTAAGAGTTTATTCATTGATTCATTATTGTTCAGTTGATAAGGGATACTCTTCCATAAATCCATACCCCTCACAGAAAGACACCTCTGTAAGGACCCATATAGGGACTAAGCTGACTAATACCATATAGAGAACAATAAGGTTGACTCTAACTCAACCCCAAAGAACTTTAAATGTGAGGATTGTCAAATTTTCATCAGGTTCATTCATATATAGACATGCCAGGCTGAGTTAAGATATCACATTTCATATACTAACCAACTCTACAGAATCCAGGTTCCTATTTAATAAATCGGAATGCATCCTGATACATCCAACCTATGTGAATGATCATTCTTTATTTTTCAAATGAACCACCGAATGAAAATGAAAGTTCTTTAATAAGATTACGATCAGATTAAATCCTCATATGCTTCGTTAAAAAAAACTTTAAACATATCATGTTTCTGCTTACTCGATCAAATCAACCATCTCAAGTTCTGATCCCTGGCTACAATCTAAATATATAATCACAACTACATCTACACAATTTTTCATATGGTTTCTTAAGCTTAGCTGATACGGAGTATTGTCTACATTACAACAATAATCAATCCAAAAAACTTCGGCCAATGTTCCAAGTTCCAACTTTAAACACGGATCAAACCATAAAACATCTATGAATTGAGAAAATCAATGATCTAATAGTGAAAAAACATGATACAGATTAGAGAATCATAGAAATTTTTGGTTTAGGAACTTGCCTTAGAAAACAACGCAGAGGGAGCCGTGGAGAAAAGAGAGGAGACCAATTGGGACGAAAGAAGAAACGTTTGTGATTTTTCTTATGAACAGAGAAATTCTGCGTATTAATGATGAATTGTTTGATCCGTTTCTGCTTCGCGTGGCCGCTTTAAACTCCCATTTTATTTTGAGTAATTTATTATTCATAAAATAATACATAATCAAAACAGATTATCTATCTTCTCAATTTACCTTTTTCAAAAAAAATAACTTCTCAATTTACCCAAAAATAAATAAATCTTCTCAAAAAACAAGATTATCTATACATCTGCTCTAAAAAATAAATATTTTCTATACATCTGTCACCTATTTAAAATATGAACAAAGCATCTCTTAATACTAAAACAATGTAACATCATAATTTTGTGCTAATATATGTGTATAAAGTAATGACTACATCATTTTTATGTTAAGATTATTCTTAATTATATATATATTCTTCTACTTTATACAATCAAACTCTACATAAAAGAATAAATAAATTGTTGAATTTTACAAGGGAAAAGGCTGCATGGATACAAGTCCTCCAACATATAATGTGGTTGTATTTATTCCAATTATTGTGAATAATGATCAATAACTTTAATCTATGACAGCTCATTTTATACTTCGTACATATTACATACAATGAATCAAAAACATAAGGACCCAAGTCTATATGATAAATGAAGATGAAGATATTATTTCTGAAAAATAATTAAAATATCTCAAACTTTAAAAGAGTATGAAGTAATCACTCCAAACTTCCATATGTAATTTAAATAACCCAGATTTTATATAAATAGTTATTTAAGCATCATGGCCATGTATTATTTCTTTTAAAAACGTAAGTTTATGGTGTTAATTACATAATTTAAAATAGGAGAAAATAATTAAAATATCTCAAACTTTGAAGAGGTGTGAGGTAAGCATCCCAAATTTTATATAAAATGTTATTTTAACATTATGATCATGTATAATTTCTTTTTAAAATGTAAATTTATGATGTTAATTGCATAATTTAAAGGGAAATCTGTCAAATAGATCCTCGTACTATTTCCAAAAAGTCAATTAAGTCCTCGTAAAGATGAATCAATTAAGTTCATGAAGTGTTAAAAATTACTCAATTATTCCATTTAGCTGGTTGGGAGCCGGTTAATAGGTAAACATGTACGGATGTACCCGTGGCGGGTACACATGGTTTTTTTTTTCTTTTTCTTTTTTCTTTTCTTTCTTCCTCTTCTCACTCTTTCTTCCTCCACCACGCTTCTTCTTGCTTCTTCTTTAGCCGCAGATGTTTATGTGTTTTCCCCTTTCTTAATTTCTAATTTGTTTCTTTCATTTTCTCTATCTTTCTTATTCTATTTCTTCTCATAAAAGAAATCAACCACCGCCGCTCAAGTCTTCCTTATCCGTCGTGGGTGGTCAGCTGCCGTCCACAAGAAACACAACTTTTAGCAGGTAGATCTGAATTTCTCCAACAACCGTCGTGCGTCGCTCTTCGCCGAAAATTTCTTCAATCTGACGCTCATCGTCCATAGCCATGGCGGTCCTAAGGGGAGGGCAGCAGGGGCGACCGCCCTAGGCCCGAAACAAAAGTAGAAAGAAATTAGGCCCAAGTTTTTTCTTTATACTACCTCCGTAACATTGGGATGTTCCCATTTGAAAAGTATGTAGATTAAGAATAGTGAAAGGAGATATGTATTATTAGGGGTATGATGGGAAGATAGTGAAATAATGTGATGGAATGAAGGATAAATCCAAAAAAAGTAGGTGTAATAGTGTATTATTTTTAAAATTATTGAGGGTATGATGGGAAGATTTAGAAATGGGAAGATATTAGTGTTACGTCCAAAAAAGGAAAGTGGGAAGATATTTACGTTACGGAGGTAGTATGTAACTAGCACAGTACCCGTGCATACGCACAGGAAAATGTTGGTCTATATATACTTTTATTCATGATGTAATTAAATGTAAAAATAGATATTTTTTACTTACAATTTACATAATTTCAAAAATGGAGTACGATAAGTGAATATAAAAAAGCATAATCCATACAACAAATAATAAAAGTAAAAGATAACCTAGTTAGCTTTTTTCCGTTTTAAACGCGTTTTAAACACGTACCGTTTTTTTGAACAAAAAAACGCGTTTAAACGAAAAATAATGTCAGTCCGTTTAAAAAGGAAAAAAACTCCTACTTCCCGTATAAAACGTATTTTTTTCGTATTTTACAAAAAAATAGAAACATGAACTGATCAATTGAATAAGTGCATAAAATGCATAGGAAATCAACAATAGCTTAAAAGCGAAAAGTAAAATATCCTCCTCGTGAGCGCGTGCTTTTTTTATTGTTACAAACCAATTATTAAATACTAAAATTAATTGACTGGCTAAAGCTAGCTTTCTAAAATTAAATACCAAAACTTCAAATACTACCAGATGTATGATGTTTTCCCGATCAAGCATATCAAATTAAGATTTTTCTAAACATGACATATTTTTAGTATATATACTTTTACCGTTTTACACATAAACAATAATGTGTTTAACTTGAGTATTATTATATAATAAGCGTAGCAGTCTTACAATGTACTTTTCGCCAGAAATTTCTTCAATCCGACGCTCATCGTCCATAGCCAAAGCTTACCTAGCCGCCGATGTACGATGCCCGTCTCCCATGTCAGGTCTTCCTCAACTGCCACAACACCTCCATCCGCCGCCTGCCGTCCACTCAAAGAAAGACAATCGGGAAGAATGGAAGAAAGAAAGTGGAAAAGAATTGAAAGAAATTGGGAGAGGGGAAAGAAAGTGCATGGGAAGAAGAAGAGATAAATAAAAATGGTCGCTGTAACTCCAAGCCTCGAAGGATGGGAAAATAGAAAAAGAAAATAAAAGAAAAAGAAAAAAACCAAAATTAGTGCCACATGGACGTGCAAGTCAACTATTACCGGCAATATTTAATCCCAACCGGCTAAATAGCAAAATTGATGACTTAATTGATTCACGAATAAGTACGAGAACGCAATTGAATTTTTGGCAATAGTACGAGCACCTATTTGACATTTTTTCTAATTTAAAATATCAAATTGAAAAGTTTGCAATTATATAGAGTGGGGGTTAATACTCTTTATTTTACAATGGAAGTTTAGAATGTTAATTGTGTCTTCATGAATGCTAAAATATTTTAAATTATGAAATTAACTCCAAAAATTGACATTTAAGAAAAAAAATACTTGACTAAGGTGCTAAAATAACTATCTATATAAAGTTTGGGGTATTTAAATTACATATGCAAGTTTGGTGTGTTTACTTCACACCTCTTCAAAGTTTGAAGTATTTTAATTATTTTCCCCTTTAAAATACCAAATTAAAAGCGTTGTAATTGTATAGATTGGGGGTAATACTACGTACTATTTATCTCACAATGAAAGTTAAGAATGTTAATTGTATATTTATGAATGCTAAAATATTTTAAACTATGCAATTAACCCCATAATTTACGATTTTGAAAGAAATAATACTTGACTATGGTGCTAATATAACTTTGGGGAAAATACATAAAAATTACTTGTGATTGCGCTCATTTTCAGACAAGGTCATGTGTTTCAATTTTTATTTCCCAAACTCATTGATGTATTGACTCAAACTATCTCTTGCGATTGTTGAGTATTGTTGGGTTAATGGCCCAAACCGAGGTCCGGCCCATTAACCCCTTTCTACCAGACGCACGACCAGTTAGGACACAAGGTTAGCCGCAGGCCCATGTTCTTTGGAAAGGGACGAACATCTTGTGTTGAGGGGCTTTTAGGCTCAATGGCCCATCGCGATGAACGTCTGTGAGGGGACGGAGCAGGATCACGGGCCATCAAGAATGGAGACGAACGTCTCCTAAGCAGGCCCATGATCGTCGGAGGAAATCCAGTCCACATGGAGAGAATCCCAAGGCCAGGAGACGAACAGCCGAAACCTCTTGAGGATCACTTGGAGCGACCCAGCTCGCTCCCAGGCGGACGAACGTCCCCATTATTTAGGCGGGAAACCTAGATTCTGGCGGGAAGTGCATTTAATGCAGAAGATTTGGTGGTTGGGACACAAGCGGTCCACAGGCCTCCACGTCAGCATAGCCACCTGCCCATTGGCGGGTATAAATAGAAGCATTTATTTCATTGTAAAGGGTTGGCAACTTTCTATTCTTAGCACTCTAGCTATAGCATTCTTACTCGCAGCACTTCTACTGCCTTGTAAGACGAACGGCCGACGGAGCCTTAGCGAAAAGTGTTGTATTAGGGAGTTATTAAGAGATAATAATATCTAATCACTTACTTGCTACCTTATTGTTTGTTGACCCTTGTTATCTGCTTGTTGGGCTAGTTTATTCACACACACTCCATTCGAAACCTTTGGGCTTACGTGTTGGGTCTGAAGGTTGAAGGAATAAACCTCAACAAGTATGGACCAGACACAAGAGATAATTACCCTCTTACCGTGTGTACCTGTAAATACTTCCTCCGTCCCAATGGGCATTGTCAACTTTTCTTTTTTGTTGTCAAAAATTTTTGTCATTTTTGAATCAAAGTAAATAATTCGTGCTTCTGTTTATTTCTCAACCACACAACATTTACTTTCTTTATTCCCCACATAATCCAAATTTGGCAAAGTTCACCGAGACGGGGTAATAGTTAATTGTGTCTTTATGTCACCTTTTACATTTGGGCTACTGGATTGAGATTGAGATTGAGACTTAGTAGTCATTCCCCATTGTACTATTTTTAGATATACAATATTCTACTCCCTCCGTTCCTATAAGGTTTGTCAGGTTTGATCGCCACGTATTATAATAAAGTAAATATTGTTTAGTAGAGATTTGTGCTGAAGAGAGAAAAATAACAGGAGCCACAAATTGACTGAGTAAAAGAAAATGGGGCAAAGTTTTTGGGACAATAAAAAGGGGAAGTTGACAAAGTTATGAGGGAAGTAGGGAAGTCTAAAGAGTTAAAAACACTATGAGCCCGTTTTGTAACACTGAAATTGGCGGAATCGGCTTATTTTGCTGAAGTTTATGAAGATTTGGCTAGAGTGCTGGATTCGCTGATTTTGCTGATTTATGAAGAAAAAAATT